CGGCCTGCACGCCGCCATCCAGCCTCTCAGTGCTCGGACAGGGCCTGCTGCGGGGGAGGCCCCGGGGTGCGCGGAGGCCGCGGCCGCGGGAGGCTGCCCGAGGCCAGGGCCTTCCACGGGTGTGCTGCTCCTGGCACCGACAGGCTCTCTTCCTGATGGTGGAGTTGTGTCCCCATTAATCCACGTCCAGAAAGCTGTCCGGAGTCAAAACTGCATTCGTGCGTGGCTATAGCCATGGTACAGTGCTGGACCTTCCTGAGTCTGGCCGTCTGTTGTGGGTCAGTTGACCAGATACCGTCCAGCTAGGAGGGGATGGAGCCCAAGAGGAAAGCTGTGCATTCCAGGGTCAGGACCCTCAGAACTGGAGATGAGTGGGTTTGAGATGATCGCGTTTTGCGCGGTGTGTAGGAAGCAGTATCATGGTGCCATGCTAGGATGCCCTGCACACTGAGAGGCTGAGTGGACCCCTAGTGAGTGACTCACCGGGTGACAGGGTTTGTGGTCAGGCTGTGTTCAAAGCCATTTTCCTGAATTGTCTTCACACTTCTGCAAGCAACACATAGGCCTGCTGAGTGGAAAGCAGTTCCTACTGCAGCGTGGAGAATCAAGCTGTGGATTTTGGAGGCATTGCATTCTCCAGCGATGGTTGGTTGGCCATGCACACACCTCAAGAGGCGCATTTTAGAGCTGAAACCTGCGGGTGGGTGGACTGTTAAGCTATCACCATTCTTTCTTGCAGAATTATCCTCTCTACATCCGCAGCACCCCCATGGAAAATGAGCTGAAGTTCCATTACATGGTGCACACATCCCTGGATGTGATAGAGGAGAAGATCTCTGCCATGGGGAAGGCATTAGTGGACCAGAGGGAGCTCTACCTGGGCCTACTGTACCCGACCGAGGACTACAAGGTGTATCCTTCCTGGAAATAAAAACATGAGGGTTTTCAACTGGATGGGCAGCTGGGGTGGCCTGAAGCTAATGAAGGCCTGAACTCTGGGCCTGGGGGCTGTCCCTCAGCTCTTCAGTGTAAGGCAAGCGCTCTACCACTTGAGCCACAGTACCACTTCCAGTTTTCTAGTGGTTAATTGGAGATCAGAGTCTCACGGACTTTCCTGCCTGGGCTGGCTTTGAACCACGATCCTTAGATCTTGGCCTCCTGAGTAGCTAGGATTACAGATGTAAGCCACTGGTACCTGACACCTCTAACCGTTTGGAAGACTAGTTTGGGAAAAAAAAAGAAGCTGGAGGACCCAGGCCTCCTAAGTTTGTACCTGCAAGATGTCTCCTCGTGTTTCAGAGCCATCACCTTTGGGCAAGGGTGATTGTTTCTCTTACTTCACTATAAATGATTGTTACTTCACTATAAATATTTATATACATAAATGTATTTATTTGCTATATCATTGTTAGGTACTCAAAATGGGTGGCAAATCCTTTGGAAAAAGTGCTCAAGATCACGGAGTTCAAGGACATTCTTGTAGGGAATAATATAGCTGTCCATGCTGATAGTGACCCAGGAGCAACTGACATGGCCTCCAGAGGAGGTTCATCTTACTTGTGAAGACTTGACTGTGTGAGCCAGGGCCCAGCATTCACTTAGGGCCTGTGAATTTTGGGCCTTAGCTTCCTCTGCTCCTGCAGCAAACACTAATCAGTGCCCAAGGAATGTCCTGGCCTGGGCCTTTGCTGGGATTGGTAGGCGTCAGGCTTCTCCAGAATGAGGCACACAGAGATCCCAGGTTCCCAGGCTCTCGACCAGGATGTGTGTCATTTGTTGTAACCGAGTCCTTGTGTCAAAGCAAACTCCTTAACCGGCTATGCAGATACGGGTATGTGACCAACTCCAAGGTGAAGTTTGTCATGGTGGTGGATTCCTCCAACACAGCCCTTCGGGACAATGAAATTCGTAGCGTACGTTCTGGGGATTGGGGGCCACGCCTGGATGGGTGGCTGGGTTCCATTTCCCTTTCTTTGTGTTTAGATGCTGAGGAGCCAGAATTCTGGTACTGGTCTTTTTGCAAGTTCATTTTAGCTGTTGTTGGGTGTTGTTCCAGATGTTCCGTAAGCTGCACAATTCCTACACAGATGTGATGTGCAACCCCTTCTACAACCCTGGTGACCGCATCCAGTCCAGGTGGGCCTACTCTCCTTACCTTGCTGCGGCCTTCTGCGGTGGACAGTCCCCAGCCCCCCAGCTTCAAAGTGGCAAGGCCTTTTACCAAATCATTGCTGATGCAGACGGCCATCTACCCAGCAGATGAGGGGTGTAGTGGGGCGGGGGTCTGTGTATGCCTGGGGACATACTGGGTCCAAGCTGGGAGCAGCAGCCTTTAGGCACAGAAGTCATTGTCCTGCCTTCTGTAGTGAGCAGATGCTTGACTGCAGGTGTCTTTCAAACAGCCCCCAGGTAGACTTGATATGTGAACAGTCACGCCTGTAATTCATGGCAAGTGTGGGTTCTATGTGTGTGTCTATCCAGGAATTCCTAAGGGACTCCTTCCTGCATGCCTTTCCTTGGCTGGGCACTGGTGTCTTGGGTCAATGCTCTGTTCTAGGGGAGAGCAGGCAGGTGTCCTTGAACTGCGTAGGGTGAGGAAAACACTGCCCACGCACTTTGGCCTTGGCCTGGGAGGTCCTCCAGGGAAGATGGTGGGACTCTGACAACACTGCAGAGGTGGAGTCCGTGTGCCCAGCGCAG